ATATAATTTAAAAATTTATGTATATATTAAATGTTAAAATTTTATAAATAATATTTTATTAAAATTTTTAGTATTATAATTATAATATTATATTTATTTAATATTCTTTTTTATTGAGCATAATAATAATAATTATTATTTTATTAATATCAATTAGATCATGATTTAATTCTGATTGATCTATTGAATCAGTGTCTAGACTGATTCAATGACTAATTCAATTTTAAAAATATTAGTCATTATATTATATTTACAAAGTTGTGCATTTTTAGATTATTTTTTTTAGTTATTAATATATTTGTTATGAGTTTATTTTGTCTACTCCATATTAACAAAATTAATGTATTTAAAAGTTTAAATTATATAAATTTGGTTCAAATAGACTTTAGTCCCAATAAAATATGATTATTTTCATTTTAATCATCTTAATTTTAGTTATTTTTATTATGCTATTTTTAAATTTTAATTGATTTCCTTCTTAATCTTCTCAAATATTAGTCCTTATAACTTTTGACTTTTCTATTTTAGTTTCTACAATTTTTTTTTAAAAAAATTTCTCTACTAGATTTGATGATGAATTTGACAAAGAGAATGAAAATGAAACAAAAATATTTTAGAGTAACTAATTGAAAATAATAATTCAAAAAGGAATGAAAACAAAACTTCACTATTTTACATAGAAGAAAAAATTATTTCATTATAAAAAATATTACATACAGTAACGCACAAAAAGTATTATTATAGAAAAAATACATATAAATATAAATTCATTTGATTTATAATTATATACATTTTTATTATTAATTTTGAATGAGATATAATAATATATATTGTGTGTTACTATAATCTATACTAATAATAATATACCAATACATATTATATTTATAATATAGATAAAATTAAATTTTAATAATAAATATTGTGTTACTATAATTACACACATTTTTAGTATTAATTATGAATGAGATATAATAATATATTATGTGTTACTATAATCTATATCAATAATAATATACCAATATATATTATATTTATAATATATGTAAAATTAAGTTTTAAAAGAAAATATTCAATCCAATCTATTAATCTAATATAATAGAGTGTATTATCTGATATAATTATAATGTAAAATATAAGATAATATTATCTTCTAGTAAAATAGAAAATATCATCCTTTAAATATTGCAGAATATTAAAATTTATCAAATTTACACACTATCAAGTTTTGTATCATTAGACATTATATTGATTGGCGTAAAATCGATACAAAGTCAAGAAGATAACTCTTAAATGTCGATAGAAATAATTTTGAATTGTTAAACATTATTAAAATTTATATCTTAATTAATTTCAATTATAAATTTTATATTAGAAGATAGAAAAAATAATTTTAATTGTCATCCATCCCATGAGTAAAGTAAATGTAGTACAGAAGGTTTATTGACTCGAAGATCAATCCTTTTTTAAAATTTTGAATTAATTTATAAATAATTCCTTTAAAAAAATATTCTCATTGCAAATAGGTTAAGAAAAATGAATAAATAAAATATTTATTAATTTTATAATTGACGAACAAAATCAGAATTTTGGTTTATAGTTGGAAACTTGGAATGAGGACAACCACTAATTGACTTTTTTATTTTTATTTTTACATAATCCTTAATGGACCTATGGAAGTAAGGACATTATAAACACTATGGAAATTCAATCTTTTTGACTAAAAAAAAGATTTTAAATAACATCCCTGAATAAATAACAATAGAAAATAACAGAAGAAAGTTATAAACAAATCAAATCATAATTGTTAACCAATTATCAATATCATTAAATTAACAATAAAATAGGGAAGGAAAGATTTGAAAAGAAAAAAAAAAAAGAAATTTAAACAATAATCCATAACGAATTATAAATAATTCAGAGCACGCAGAGTGTGTCCATAAAAGTGTTTTGTCCACAATGAGAGTACAGTGTTTGAGGAGATTCACTCCATGGAATCCAAATTGAGTGAGCAAAAAGTTGTCACTTACAAGCATGTCAAACCTTCCATTGTGAAGGCACTACCAAAGGTAGTTCGTATTTCAGTGACGGACCCGTATGCCACAGATGATGAAGATGAGGATGAAGATGAAGGGTTGGTTAGAATCAAGAAGTTTGTAAACGAGATCAGAATGGTGGATAATCACTGTTCAACTAACACTGAGTCCCCTGTTCATGTGAAACATCACCACAAGGAGAGAGTCATCACAGCAAAAACTGAGAAAGGTAATGGAAGAAAGTTTAGAGGAGTTCGTCAAAGGCCATGGGGAAGATGGGCTGCAGAAATCAGAGATCCTGTGAAGAGGACAAGAGTGTGGTTAGGGACTTATGACACTCCTGAAGAAGCTGCCATGGTTTATGACAAAGCAGCTATAAACTTTAGAGGCTCTAATGCTCTCACTAACTTCATCAAGCCTCCTACAAGTGAAGAAAACATCAACACTGATGTTGTTTTTGATTATGGTCTTAATGAATCTGAAGATAGTGTGAGTGGTTTGGTTGAGAATGAGAATGTGAGTAGTGGGAATGATTCAAGCAAAGAGTCTCATTTGCCTTCACCAACTTCTGTGCTTGGATTTCGACATTTTATGTTGGAGGAGATTTCTGAAACAGATGGTGTGATCAGAGAGGACCCAAGTTTGCTAGATAGTTTTTTGTTTTCAGATTCATCATCCATTGATAGTTATTTCAATTTTGAAACTCCTCCACCAGTTTTTCTTCATGAAACTAGTGCGACGGAACCTGTTTTTCATGACAATTTCAGTGATATTTCCCATCTTGTCAGTAAGGATTTTCAATTTTGTAATTGGGATATAGATAGTTACTTCAATGATCTTTTTCAGTGATGAGACATTGAATTGATCTTGATAGAGTTTTAAGGTTACATGAGTTATGTAAAGACGGAGATATTTTATGCTACATGAGCTGTCATGAGACATTTTGTGTCATTGTGAATTTATGCTTCCAATTTTGTTCTTTTACCATATAATGTAATCTTGTTTTCTGATTTTGCAATTTTTTGCCCCCTTTTAGGTATTATGGTTTTGATTAGCATTACATATCTGATGTTGTTATTTTGGAAACAGCTATAGTTGAAGGGTTGGTGGGATATTTTTCTCTGGCCATTGACATGCATTAGGCGCGGGTGCAAAAAAGCTGTCAGTCATGCACTAAGCTTATAAAGTTCAATTTCACGTGTCATGTATAATGTTTGGCCACACATCCTTAGCCATACTTTTTGGAGGCAAAGACCTTTCTTTTTTGAAAAAATAAAGAAACATTATAAGGCATTAAGCAAGACATATAATTTAATTAACTAGGCTTTTAATAACAAGGTTGGTTAAAAATATATATAATATATGAATGGTGGTATTTGTTACAAAAAAGCATGGAGAGAGTAGTTACAAGATAATATTGTTTATGGAGCTTTGTCTTTGTTAAAGAAGATGTCAACTTGTATACCATATCATGTGGCAGACTGACATCCATGAGGCCATGAAAAATATGATGTAGTCTTGTTTCACCAAAACAAATATGATATATGTCTGCAAGAGGTCCAAATTAGGAAGCCCTGCATGATATTTTGAAAAGAGGCAGTGTGGAATGTAGTAGGGAACCACCACCTAGAGCTAGGTACGAACAAAAGGTCTATTATGAAAACCAAACCAAAGCAAGTTGGCACACAGATTTTGGGTACCAAGGATGAGTCACTTAGACCCCACAGACATTGACCCATTTGAAAGGATTAGGGAGAAGAAACATAACAGACTGAATGCCTTGACTATTGAGTGGTGTTCTTGGAGATGTTTCTAGCTATCCAACAAAGAAAGATCATGGCTTCTTGGGAAGTGTGGGCTATGAGGGGAGGGTCCTAGAGTTGGCACTGGCTTTGATTTTGAAATTGTAAGAGTAGAATGTTAAGTTGCTTTTATGGTGAAAATATCTGCACGCTTCTTGAATGCTATAAATGGTGTTTTGGGTTTGGTCAAACATTTTGCAACAGACTTTTTTTTTTTTTTTTGGTTTGTCGGATGGTTACTTGTGTATATGTATGTGAAGGAATGAGAGCAGAGCAAGTTGCACTGCATTGCATGCCCTGTCTGTCTACAAAGCAAAGGTGTTCAAAACCAGATTGATGCTCATGCAATGCAAGCCTGTCATTGGTCCTTTTCTCAACACCTTTTACTGTTGTCATAAATTCTGATTTACAAATTAGAATTGCTCCACAAACCCACTTTTTACATGGGGATGAAGTTTCAACGCTTTTTCTTTCAATTTATTTTTCAACATGTAAAATAAATATATTAAGAAGAAAAAAATGTTAATAATACACTTTCTAACATATTTTTTAAATTTTAATCAATAAAAATGTGTGTTAAGAAAAATGTTAGGTTAAAACCCTATTTTGGTCCTTTATAATTTTTTTTTTGTTTCAATTTAATCCTCACACTTTTTTTTTCTTTCAATTTTCATATGCTACTAAAATAGGTGGGGTGAAAGAAAAATAAGAGGGTGCATGTAAAAATTGAAAAAAGGAGGAAAGATATGTGAAAAAAAATACTAAATTAAATGTTGTGGATGTAAAATTAAAAAATTTAAAACAAAAAATTAAAAATATTTTAAAATTTTAATTATTTTTTTAAAAGGAGGTGTACTTATATATAAAAGGAGGTGTATATATCATGAACCATACCATTAACCAACAATTTTCCATAGAAACATACATGGGCCAAGCCCGATTAGGTGGGGGAGGAGGAGTGATCCATTAAGCTGAAAATCAAAATAACTATGCAAGAAACAAAAATATTACCCATAAGAAAGCTTTTGAACCTTCTTTTTAGACGACACTGCAGATGCTATCTCTTCTATCTCTTCTTCAACCCAAATAAATTTTATTTGTACATGTTGAGTCTAAAAGCACTATCATCTTGCGTAATCATTGTTTTCAGAACGTGGAGAGTAGATTTCTTTAGGCTACATGTGATGATATATTTTTTTTTTCTTTGTGGTCATTTCAGTTTTCTTTTAATTTCGTTTTGTATTTTTTGTACTTTTTATTGAGTTGATTGTAAATTATTTAGGCTCATGATATATACTTTTTTAATAAGTACACCTCCTTTATTTTTTTTTAAAAAATTATTAAATATTGTAATTTTTTTTAATTTTTTAATTTTACACCTCCAATTTTTAATTTGTTACTTTTTTCTTCTTTTTTACATACCATTTTTTCTCTTTTAGTTTTCACATGCTACCAAAAATAGGTGTAGTGAAAGAAAGGTAAGGGAGTGCATGTAAAAATTGAAAAAAGGAGGAAAGATATGTGAAAAAAAGTACTAAATTAAATATTGTGGATGTAAAATTAAAAATTAAAAATTAAAAATAAAAAAATTAAGAATAATTTAAAATTTTAATTATTTTTTTAAAAAAAGGAGGTGTACTTGTAGAAAAAAGGAGGTGCATATATCATGAACCAATTATTTATTGGCTGTTTGAACACAACCCATCTTGGACGTTCATATTATTCTGTTTTTGTCAATTTGATTTTTTTACAATGGGCTCAAGATAGCCCAATTTGAAAAGAAAGAATTTTGAGGCCTTAACAAGCCCGAATCGGATGACAACAAATTAAGATAAATAAATAAATTGAAGAATGTAGATAAAATTAAGTGTTTACAATTTTGGAGTTGAGTATTCAGAAAATGAAAAGAAATTATTATTATTATTTTTCTCTAATAAACATTATCTAGTTTGATATTTTTCAAAACTAAATACTAAATTAAATGTTGTGGATGTAAAATTAAAAAATTTAAAACAAAAAATTAAAAATATTTTAAAATTTTAATTATTTTTTTTAAAAGGAGGTGTACTTATAGAAAAAAGGAGGTGTATATATCATGAACCAAAAAATGAAGAAACAACAAGCGTCGCAAGGCCCAATGTTTCCTCTTCTGGGCTTACAATTAAGTAAATAATATTTTATTCACAGTTCTGGAACGGACCGTTCTGGTCTGAAACCAGAACGGCCCTTGCTGATTTCAGAACGGCCCGTTTTGAAAGCAGAACGACCCGTTCTTCTTCACTGGTGGTGTTTTAATTTTGCAACCAGAACGGCCCGTTCCGGTTTCAGAACGGGCCGTTCTGGGTCCAGGTGTTTTCAAAAAAATTCTCATCCACGTGGATGCCACGTATGCATCTACGTGGCGTCCACGTGGCCAAAAGTTAACACCGTTAAAGCAATTTGGACGGAAAGTCCCACATTGAAACTAATTAATTAATTTAGGACTAAATTGAAACCAATTAATTAATTTGGGATCAAATTGAGACCAAAAATTAATGAGGGACTAAATTGAAACAAAAAAAGATTATAAGGGACCAAAATAGGGTTTTAACTAAAATGTTACTAGCATTTTTCCTAGGAGAAATTTGTCATAAGATAATTTTTTTTAAGTGAGTTAAATCTTAAAAACTTTTTAATATTAGAACAAGTTTCAAAACTTACAACACTTGCATAAAAATTTATTATTAATTGATAGTTATTTTTATGTTTATATAATTGATTATTTTAATAAAATTAATAAAATTTAATAAGTTAGTTGATATTAAATATATTTGTATATTAAAAATTAAAATTATTCTTAATTTAAAATGTATACCGAATGAAAATAATTGAGGCATAGAAAATTTTTTATAAGTTACAATGATATTTATAAATTTTCATCTACTAACTTATAAAAATTTACATAAAAATATAAATTTTCATCTTCTAACTTATAAAAATTTACATAAAAATATAAATTTATAAACTTAATAATATTATTTTTTATTTATGTTCATCTTATTAAAATATTTTTTTCATCTTCTAATATTTAATTTATATAAATAATATAAATAAAATACATAA